TGAATGGATAAACTATGGTACATCCAGACAATGGAATACTGTCCAGCTATAAAAAAAATGAGCTATCAAATCATAAGAAGACATGGAATAAACTTAAATCATATTAACAAATGAAAGAAGCCAATCTGAAAAGACTACATATTGCATGATTCCCACTATATAACATTCTGAAAAAGGAAAAGCTATGGAGATAGTATAAAGGTCAGTGATTGCCAGAGGTTGAGTGGGGAGTGCTGTGGGAAGGTTGAGTGAGCACAGAGAATGTTTAGGGCAATGAAAATACTCTTATGATACCATAATGATGGATTCATGTCATTATATATTTGTCCAAAGCAATAGAATGTACAACACCAAGAGTACCAATGAACTTTGGGTAATTATGATATGTCAATGTAGGTTCATCAATTGTAACAAATGTACCACTCTGGTAGTAGATGTAAATGGGGGAGGCTGTGTGTGTGAGTGGGGAGGGAGTAAATGGAAAAACCTCTGCATCCACCCCTCAATTTCACTATAAACCTAAAATTGGCCCCCCAAAAAATAAAGTCTTAAAAAAATACAGGGCAGTTTTTATAAACATATATCTTCACTTAATCATTGTACATATGTATTATATATTTTCAATCAGTGTAATCACAGTTTAGCATAAACTTTTCCATGTTTTACACTGTTTCTATAATTATTATTTTTATGCCTTCATAATAATTCATCCAGGGTATTTATTCTTTCATACTTCAATTATTTATTGAACATTTACTATGTGCTATTCAAGATCATTGGAATGTACTCCTAAGCCAAGGTACCTTCACTTACAGAATTTATAACATTTTCATGTGCACAGTTGATATATAATCATTCATTTGACTTTTTATCATACTGTATAACTCTTTGAGACAAGAACATTATACATATCCTGTTATTCAGCCTTGAAGAACCTTTGCAGAAAAGAAGTAATGTCATGGACCTAAACATATTTTGGTTATTTACATGCTGTTGTTGTTGTTCTGTAAGTCGACTTCCCAAAAGAAAATGAGAAAAATAAAGGTATAAAAGTATATATATATAACCTAGTGAGTTGAACCAAGAAACTACTTATCTGATTCATCAGGGTGAAGATCTACAGCGCAATCAAACTGGACCTGTGTTTTCCATAATAAATTAAGACCCTCTATATTTCTTCCTGACATGCAATATAAAGATCAGACTTTCATATAGGATATTTTATTACTATATGACATTTCTTACCCTACCTGAAAAATAGCCTCTTAACCCCAAACTGATGTTAATGCCCAAGCTTCTAAAATTTGTTTTTGGAAGTCATATGGAGCCATAAAATATCTTTATATTAAGGAATACTATTGGTTTATGAAAATAGTTTCTAATTATACATTTAAATGAGAAATGATCTCATTAGCATCCCAGTTTTCTCCTTTTCTTTCTTTGTTTTACAACATATAAATATGCTGGGAACCTCTGTGCAGAGAGAGAGCAGTTCAGTCTGCTTGTCTCCTTGGTGCCATTGCTGTCAAGTTTGCATAAACGGTGCCTCTGGCAGTTTTCTGGGTCCACGAGGCACAAGGCTTATTTCTTCCATATTAGGTTATTACAGGTTTCACTTGTTTCCATTTTATTTACTCATAAATAGTGCTACATTAATTTTTATCCTATCTTTTTCTAATTTTATAATACATCTCAGAAGTATGAAAAGTTTCAAAAGTATGAACACTCGTGATCCTCAAGACATATGCTAAATGTTCTCCAATATATTTCCAGCAGTCTAGATGAAGCTAGTTTGATTTTATGTTACTATACTCTAACTTATAATTAACTTTATGTCTATATGGCTTTTCTCACTATAAGATCTTTAAAGTGGAAGTAGCAAGGCTTTAACAGGGGCAATGAGCAGTCATGACTATTCACTTTCACCTCAACTACACGTTTTGTCCACTTTGCTAAATTCTACCTGCTTTATATAACTATTTGAATCTGTGATCACAAAAAACATTTTCTTCTGAGTTTCAGCTCATTTAACATTTCTATATTGGGGGGATTCCTTTTAAATTACATATAGTCAACATTAATTACTCTCTGTTCCCCTTATATTCATTCATTCAATGGTTATTCAAGATCAAATGTCAAACATGTTGCAGAAACTCTGCCAGGTTCTAGGGTTTCAGTGTCACAAAAACAGCCATCTATCTGAATCTGAGTGTTTTTGACAGCTTTCTATGCAACCACCTTTCCTACCTTCTCTTCCTCAGTATCAGTACTGGCAGGAATGACAATCAGAATTCTATTTTAGGAAGGTTCCCAAAACTCCTTAGTCTTTACTTTTCTTTAAGAGTGTCATACAATTCCACCTCTCTGTAAAAAATATTTTCTACAAAAATGATCTTTCTTTGTTTAGGTTGAGGACCTAACTATAGCAGGCCTGTGCTTTCTTACCTGACATAAGTTGTAGATAAAATGTCTGCCTTTTCCCCCAGGTTGTCAGGTAATCCCTTTTCCCCATTTCTCCAACTTCAGATCCCTCAATGCTCGCATTATGCAGTTTGGCTAGGTAGTGTTTTAGTATGTTCTTCTATATCATGGAAGGAGATTGGCAGGTGGGCTTCCAGTTCTCCTGAGATGGGAGGAGGAGGGATATAAGGTTTTGAGGATAATTCCAAGTTTCTGGCTCTGGGATTCTCTGCATTTTTTCTCTTTTTTTAATCTAAGTGATTCAGAACTATGAGGGTTAGAACTAATATTTATCTTGAGAATGCTATGGAAGAACTTGGACTAAAATAAAACTTCTAGGTAAGCCCCAGTGAGGCATTCATCATCTATTGATTTAACAAATGTCTTTTGAGTTCTACCAAGCTCCTGCATTGCAATAGGCACTGCATCTGTCTCACTGGCTAATGGAAGCATAGTTAAGCTGTCCTTTCACTACCAAGAATCTCTCAGTTATCAAATCTAAACACAAACTTATTTCTACCACTTAGTAAGTCGTTATATTTGTTTTACTATAATGTATACTTTGTCCTGACTTTTAAGTGCCTTGGGAAATGTAGAAATTTGCCTAAATGATGTTACTCAAAATTGTTTAAAAAGTATGTACTATTTACTAATAAATCATTTAATATAGTATTTGGTTCATTAAAAACATTTAATAAGTATTGACCCTTATTATTTTAATATTATCAAACTGTTATGTATCGATCAGTTGGCAGCAGTGGAAGTTAAATGTAAAAAATATTAAAACTATTTAAACACTCATTTTCACCCCCCAAAATGATGGAACTGTTTTTTAATGTATTTCCTCACATTTTAATATTTAGTGATATAAACCACACTTGAAGGTTTCTATAACCTCCCTTTAGTGAGTGAGAAGGGCCTCCAAATTAAGTTACCATTATAATTTACCTATTCTGTTCTAAAGTTGAAAAAAAAAGATTTCATTCTGTCATCTCTGAAAGATATTTGAAAACCCTTATATCTGGAAAGGGTTTTTTCTAATTTCTAGCGTTATTTCCAGCTAACACTGAGAACTGGTCTTTTCTGAAAATTAAATTCACTGATTCTTCACAATTCTTACAATACATGTTTACATATTTGAAAACATTCCAAGTTCTCCATGTTCCTTTTAAGTCATAAAAAAGATTAAACATCCCATTTATTAGACTGGGGACAAGGTTGTATTGCTTTGCCAGTGACAACTCTTAAAGAATTTTAAAACTGATGGCATTTGTTGCATTACTGACTTGTTTAGGGAAAGACAAAGAGTCCACTTGGACTGTAATACAAAATGCACATTTTTTCCCCAGAAAGGATAGAAACCAAGAAGTAAATGAGAAAAAATATCATGTTATCTAGTTAAAAAGGATAAGCATAATTGTACAATAATCAAGTTATTTTTAACATTTTAGAATATTTAGGAAAAAAGCAAAAGGATGATTTTTGACTTGACATTAAAAATAATTAAGCTGGAGCTGAAAGGGAAACTATATATCTAATTGGAAACAATATAAAGTATAATCACTTATCATAAATGTTATGTATGAGCCTGATATGGCCAATATTCATTTTCAGTTGGATAACAAAATTAAATGATACTATGATAAGAATGAGTAAAGATTACGAGCTGCTGGACAGCAGAGACCCCTTTTACTCATCACTATATCCTAGTTTCTGACATGAAGTGAATGCTCAATAAACATTTCCTGAGAAACCAGCAGAAAGGGTATAGACAGACCTTGAGCTTCAAACTGATGGACCCAAGCTGGTACTTCTATACTGGGAAAATATCTGCCCCTATTCCCATTACACTTGAATCCATCCACGATTCCTTTTGTTTTCCATCCCCTTTATCCAGTTATCTTCTTCCTTATCCCATTGCACATTACCACAATAGCCCCAAATATTTCTAATAATTTTGTCTCACAGATCACAATATGTACTGCTTCCTTGCCATAGATTTCACTTGGCCCCCGTTCTTCTCCCACCATGATAAAAACTCTTCTTTCTTTGTGTGTATTTGTTTTCCTACCTCTGTTTTATTTTTACTGTATCTGAAGTATATAAATCATCAATGCTAACAAACTGCAAGTATAGAGTGAGGTGCACTTTTAGTGCAATATTTTCATGTATATAGTTTTATGTATAGATCACATATATCATAAACATTATATATATGTGTGTATATATTAGAGAGAGAGGAATTACATGGGTATGTACATTTTTATTTTATTATATATTTGCATATAATTAAAATAATCAAAATGATTTCCTGAAAAATCATCTTCCAAAATTTAGTATAGGATTTTAGTAAATTATCATTTTATAACAATTTTATGTCCAAGACAAAAATACAATGAACACTTTAGAAGAGTGCATTCTCATGGATTTAATAAAACTGTAACACAAATCTTCCTTGTTGACTAAGTTACTATATATATTTATATATATGTAATATATGTGTGTATGTATATAATTTCTCTTTTTTTAATACTTTAAAGGGTCACATGATAGCATCCTGTGATGCTTGTGGAGTAACAAAACTATGGGACTTTCGGAAGCTCTTACCAATTGTGTCCATTGATATAGGTCCAAGTCCTGGCAATGAGGTGAACTTTGATTCATCAGGTAGGATCTTTTTTGTTTAACATTTGTGACCAAGCTTACAACTTTAACATTTGTTCTGAAACTCTTTTCTGTTTCCACTTTAATTTTACTGTGTTTCCTCCTATGTAAATTTTTGTTCTAATACTATATTCGAATATATTATATTTTACATTATATTTCTTATTATGTCACATTATGAGAACATTATATTTATCATATATATAAAGGAAGAGATAATAGAGGAGATAAGTGTGTAATGATATAGATAACACAAATTCCTAGCAGTGTCATGAAAAATCTGGAGTCTATATCCTTTAGAATCACCATCCAAGGTAAGTAAATTGGGTTTTTTGAAGGCAAAATGGCTAAGAGTAGAGAACAAAAGTTTGGCAAAACTTAAAATACATTTTTAATGGAATATTTTAGTCTTATAATTAATAGATTATTGTATATCTCTTAATTTTATAATTTGAGATGTACATTCATCTTATTGTTGCATTCATGTGCAACAATAATTATAACTGATAATTTTAATATTATTTCATTATGTTTAGCATTTTTTCTGCAGTAATATAAACACTGTCAAACAGATAAAATATTTTACACTTGCTGTTAATGAATAGTGTAGCAACAACATACAGTGTTTCCAGTTATCTATTTAAAAGATTAAAATTATAGTTACATCTGTATCTTTAATGAGAGTTTATGCTAGATAATGTGTATCTATTATTAGATAATATAACTTTCCTTTGCTACCATCATACATGTTTTAAACCTTGTTAAATTTTGTGAGTTTTTTAAATCTTTGATACTTATTTGTAGTAGATCAAAGTTATAGAGATGGTAATTTTAGATGAAGAAATAAAGATAAAATACATATAAGGGAAATAATAATGTTTTATTTAAAAATTGTACATACTAATTCAATAGTCCAGAAGTATATATATACTAGGAGCAATTCTAGAGATATAAGATAATTGTGTGTTTTTTTTAGGACTGGTTTCATAGGACTGGTTTCATGTCATCCCATATCTAAAATTTAGAATTCAGTTAAGTTTGTCTTTTTAACAAACTTTAAGTTGTGTTTCCATTACAGATTGGTATATGAACCATACTAATAATACTGGCTTCTTTAAAAATGTTTTTAGTAATGTTCTTGACATTAAACCATCTACAGTCTGCCAGAATTAAAAAAAAGAAAACATTGTATAGAATAAAACATCCCGACTATGAGAATTTCATTTTATAATGTGAAGGCCTATTAAGATTTCAATTTAGGGGCGCCTGAGTGGCTCAGTCAGTTAAGCATCTGTCTTCGGTTCAGGTCATGATCCCAGAGTCCTGGGATCACCCCGCCCAGCATCGCATTGGGCTCCCTGCTCAGCGAGGAGCCTGCTTTTCCAGCTCCCTCTCCAGGTCCCCCTGCTTGTGCTTTCTGGCTCTCTCTCTCTCTTTCTCAGTCAAATAAATAATAAAATCTTAAAAAAAATTTTTCCATTTATATTTACCAATTTACTGAATCTGCATTGACATCATAGTTCTAAAGGAACTTAGTTTTATTACATATGTTTAACAAATAAAAATTTACTGGTCAAAAAAAACCCCAACTTTGCTGGTCATGTACTTTGATATGAAATATCTATCTTTGTATCTGTACACAGATATGTCAATATATAGACATATATGTATATACATACATATATATATATGTATGTATATAATACTATTATTTTCAATGACAACCAGCTTCTACTTTAAGACATCTCCCCCCCCCCCGCCATGGGTTCACCAATTAAAGTTAGTTAAAAAAAAAAACAAAACAAACAAAACACCTATGGGGTGCCTGGGCAGCTCAGTTGGTTGAGTGTTCTACTCTTGGTTTTGGTTCAGGTCATGATTTCAGGATCCTGAGATGGAGCCCCTTATGGGGCTTTGCACTCAGTGGGGAGTCTGTTTGAGATTCTCTCCCTCTTCCTTTACCCCTCTCCCCCACTCATAGGTAAACATGCACTCTCTCTCTCTCTCAAATAAATAAATATTTTAAAAAAATATTTAGTTTTAATGAACGTCTTTACATCCTTAAGTCCCTTTTTATTATCATGAGCTACAAGTCAAGCGTTCATGTCCTTGAATTTTGAATTACAAAATACAAAAATTTTGGCTGTATTTCTAGTAATAGAAGTTAAAGAGTACTTTGAAATGCTGTACAACTAATAAGAGATATGTATTTTACTGTCATTAACTGTGTTGCTACTTGCTTTCTACTGTCCTTGTCAGCAGCCCAAATCTCTTTTCTATGCAGAGTCAGGCAAACCTAATTTAAAATTACCTTCATACAAATCAATATCATCTTAAAGTCCTTGGTACAGCAAACCTAGTTTTTCTCTCTGTGACTGCTATACTCTTGATTATACATTAATATTAAGAAAAGCATAAGAATCAAGGGCAAAACAATGAGAAACATAAAAGACAGAAAGTGTAAACTAGGGACCCTGTTAATGAAAACACTTTATCAGTTTGAGGGAATATAATTTCAACCTGACCTTCCCATCCCTTTGACCCTTTCTTCAAGGAACATACTACAATTAATTTTAATTCTGATGTGTTTGAGAAATTAATGTCATAAGCCTTTTTCTCATTGAATAGTGGGAAATTTGTGCTTCTGTAGAGGAGAAGTCTTCAGTAACTTTTCATTTAAAAAAGTTGAAATATATCAAAAGTTGATATAAATATATCAAAAGGAACTAGGGAGAACAAACAAAGCTCGCAGTCTGAGGGTCTGAACAGAAAGGTGAAAATCATAAAGTAAAATGCCAGAAGTTGTGTTGGTAAAAAGAGAGTAGAGAATTGGGTGCCTGGGTGGCTCAGTTGGTTAAGCGTCTGCCTTCGGCTCAGGTCATGATCCCAGAGTCCTGGGATCGAGTCCCGCATCCGGCTCCCTGCTCTGCGGGGAGCCTGCTTCTCCTTCTCCCCCTCCCCCTGCTTGTGTTCCCTCTCTCGCTGTGTCTCTCTCTGTCAAATAAATAAATAAAATCTTTAAAAAAAAAAAAGAGTAGAGAATAGTGAAGTCAAGAGCAAAACAAAATCAAAATAAGGATAAGGACACATAGTGTCTCATATGAATTTATTCAAGAAAAGATTAAACAAAAAGTATAAAAGCATATCATAAAAATATTTGGACTATGAGGATAAAATCAAATCTAACTTAATAAGCTCAAAATACACATTAATTTGACATACTTTTATCTATTCCCAGCAGCTAGCAAATAAAAACATATATAATACAATTATTTTCCACAAAAAAACAAGAGTATATTGACACTATTGACAGCAATTAACATTTATCGAGGCCCACGTTAGGTAGGTTGTGCCAAATCATGTTTTTAAGTTGGAATTCTGTAACAGAATTAAATCATGCAATTATAGACAGTTAGGACTCAACTAGTGTGAGATAGGCTCTGGTCTGCTATCTCAGCTATGTCCTTGGACCTAAGGAAAAGATATTGAAAACATACATGTAACGTCATCATAATATCATATAATAAATGTAGAAGTATTGATAGCGTTCTGTTCTGTCTGTGATATTTAATACAAGGAATGTGAGTAGTTGTTAGATATTCTAAATAATCATCATAGAAACAAAAATGTCTAATCTTATTTCTTGTCTCTGGATCAGTTTAATTGAAAGGCATCTTGAGATCGTGAGGTGTGCTGTTTAAAAAGAACTGTTTCCATATACAATGACTTATCTTTATAAGTAAGGAATTTCTTGTCATTGCAAATCCAACACCGTATAGAAATAAATTGGAGTAGAGGTCACTGAAAGGCTGAAACTGTTGTCCATAACATTTGATTTCAAATTTTTATGTATATCAAAATTGCCTCATTATTTATTAACCTCATAAGTAAATATTTTCATTTTGAATTTATAAAAGTAAATATGTACCATGAAATAGCCTTTATCTATTTTAAAATTGAGATTCCTCATAGCGTATCATTTAAAAAACATATCTTTGATAAAAATATTTGAAAACCAGTCATGTAGGAAAAGAATATAGATTACAGTTCAGACCCTTAGTTCTTCACCACCTTTTAGGCGTTAAGCAAATTATTTAATTTCCTTGAACGTAGTGTCCGAAATAATGGAGGAAATAATTGTCTTACAGTGTTCTAATGTGTTTCAAAGGGATAATGTATATCCTATAATGAGGAAATCCTAGTCTAGTCACCTATCATGTTTTATCTTAGCTGGAAGAGGTTTAGAAGTCGTCCCATTTTAGGGGTAAGACAAATGTGCGAACACCGTGGTGTGCAAATAAGATGCCTAAGGCTGTGTGGTATCGTAGGTAGTTTGTAGTGAAAGTGTAAACCCAGTGAATGCTAAAAGAAACAAGAAACAAGAAAAAAACTCCTTTTCATGTAATATTAAAAATAATTTAAATGGTTAAGAAGTGAAGTTATATGAAATATTGTATATACATATAATTAAAACCAAAAGATTTAAAGATGTATGAATCATCATTTAGAATTTAGCTTTTCTGCTGTTGTAAGAAATCAGCTTCTCACACATTTAAAAGAGGAGTTGTATGTGGCACAGTATTATTTACATAATGTTTTATTTGCAGATATATTTCTTGTGACATACACAGATTATCTGTGTTTATAGATACATACATATATTGGTATTTGTAAAGGAATAAGTGTTCCTTTCTCATTAAACTGAGAGCATCCTGGTAATATAATGCTACATATTTTTGTGAATATTCACTATCTAAATTGTATCTCTCATTTGGCATATTCAAATGCCATTTGTTTTACCATTCAAAAATGTATTACTATTTCAGAAAATGTTAAATGGGATTGCGTACTGAAAGTAATAAAAATGAAACGTAAGAGTTTATACATAAACTTGTCCACATCTTTCATTTCATCATGTTTTTATGTAGTTTAGCAATACTTTTCCCTCCTTTGTAAAAGATAATTCCAGTACATTTGCAAAAAAGTCACATCCCTAGAAAATG